AGAAATGTAGCTTCTTTTTTGTTTTTTTTTTTTGAGGCGGCAGAGTCTCGCGTCTGCGTCGCGCCCAGTTTGGGAGTGCGAGTGGCCGCAATCTCAGCGCACTGCAAGCTCCCGTCCTGGGTTCATGCCGATTCTCGGTACCGTCGAGCCTCCCGATAAGCTGGACTACAGGCGCCGCACTCGCCCGGCAGTTTTGGTATTTTTATATGAGACGGGGTTTCACCGTGTTAGCCAGGATGGTCTCCGATCTCCGTGACCTCGGGGATCGCCCGTCTCGGACCTTCCCAAAAGTGACTGGGATTACGAGGGCTGAGCCCGCGCTCCAGCCAAGAAATGGCGAGTTCATATCCTGGGCCCACTTCTCGCCGTGCTGGAGGAGTCTGGCTGAGCGTGTGTTGGTAAGGTCGCCACTAGTGTGGAAGCTCATGGCCATGGCCACTGAGGCTTGACGCCAACAGTCACTGAGCGAGCCTGGGAGGAGCCAGCTCGCGTTCCGTCGCTGCACCCTGAGACCGACGGCAGCGCCTTCTCAAACACCTTCAGTCACTGCAGCCATGTGAGCCTCGACACTGATACCCAAGCTGGGAAGCACCTGGCAGGAGTCCGCAGAACTCGTGAGATGCGAATGTTTGCTGTTTTCAGCCGCTGAGGTTTGGGGTGGAATTTGGTACACAATATATGAACTAACTAATACAATGTATTAATATAGGATATCAACATAATATATAAAATAATGCTGGAATTATGCTTGAGCAAGAAATGTTAAAAATATAATTATATATATTTTATGTTAATTTATATCAGTAATATACGAATCTTATATATTTGTATATGTTATATCAATTTAGTATATTATGATAATTTATATTATTGTAAAATGTTGATACCTAGATAAAAATCCAATCTGGGCTATTATATATTTGTAATTTGTGTACTCACGCATGCCTCTGGAGTAATACAATGTTGCTGATCTCGGTTCATGTGTCCACTCACATAGTCCATTTTTATTCATCACAACTCGAGATGAAATTTGATCTCTCACTGCTCTGTCTATCTATTCTTCAACTGTGTTATGTGTGTGTCACAGAGCGCTGTGCGTCACAGAAAACAGTCTCAGTCTAAATTTTGTTGTAACTTTTCTGAGTTAGTGTCGATGAGAAGGTTTCCAGTCGCCAGGCGAGGTCTGACAACTGACAGCCTAACCTCAGGAATCTGCGCGCGCTCTCTGGTCATTTCTTTCTAACCTAGTCTTGGAAGTGGCATCTCATCATGTTCCCCTGTTCTGTTCAGGAGAATGAGTCAGTGAGTCCAGCCCACAGTCAAGAGGAGAGGATTACGCAAAAGCATGAATACCAGAGTCAGAGGTCACTGGGGCCATCTTAGAGGCCGCCTACCGCAAATACAGAAGCAAGTATTTTACAAGACCAAGTGAGAACCACTTCAGGTTTAACAGGGATTGTGCTTTTCCAGATATCATTTGAGGATGTGGCTGTGGATTTCACGTTGGAGGAATGGCAGCTACTTAATCCTACTCAGAAGAACTTGTACAGAGATGTGATGTTGGAGAACTATAGCAATCTGATTTTCTTGGGTAAGAACATTCTTCTTCTTGAGTAAGAACATTCTTATGTAACTTACGGTATGGCCAGTAACTGTTTGGCCTGTGAGGTGTTTGTTGATTTTGGACGTAAGTTTTACACGTCAAAGATTATTTGACTTTTATACTAAATTGAAAGATTTTCATTCACTTGCTTTTTATTTCACAGCCTTTGTAATAAAACATTCTTCATATTTAAGACTCTTAGCCCAAGCAGTTAGGTGCAAGTCCCCTGTGTTTCCAATCGACAGGTTATCAAATTCTCAAACCTGATGCAATTTTCAAACTGGAACAACAAGATCCATGGATAATAGGTTAAGAAATCCTAAATCAAAACTTTTCAGGTGAGGAATAATCAGGTTTATGAGATACAGTGAACATTTAATCTCTGGTTTTTGATGACAGGTGGGCACTTTTAAAATGTTGTTTATAAAACTGTTTAAAGTTCCTGAATCTTTAGAATTCACTCAAGATTGGTGACATGAATTCTTCATGATTTTTAACAGATGTGCTCCATAACCTGTTCTCCACATCGGGATGTGTCTTTTCTCTCTGGAGTTTATGATGAAATGTATCCATCTTATTCAGTGGCACAGATTGATGGCCATTTAGAACCCCACTTTCTTGATTAAGGCTCTCTTTATGAATTCATAGTTTTTTTCTTCTTTTAGATAACACTGATTGCCTTTGAGTTTATTTAAACTTAAACTTTTAATTTATTATTTTTCTTCTCTTCCTGTAATTTGATATATATCTATTTTAAAACCACAGAGAGTAGAAGATGAACCCACTGATACAGAATGAAGATCTAGGCCGGGCGCAGTAGATCATGCCTGTAATCTTCATGCTTTGGAGGTTGCGGAGAGGGCAAGGCACGATAGTCATGTAAGGCCAGGAGTTTGAGACCAACCTGGGCAACAAAGCAAGACCCCATGTCTACTACTACTACTACTACTAATAATAATAATAACTTAGCCAAATATGCTGGTGTGCACTTCTAGTGCCAGCTACTTGGGTGGCTGAAGTGGGAGGATTGCTTGAGCCCAGGAGCTGGAAGCTACAGTGAGCCACGGATGTGCTAGGCAACAGAGTGAGACCCTGTCTCTAAAAACAAAAGCACATAAAAAAACCCTAATACTTTAAACATAGTAAGGAGATTTTGCTTCTTACCTTCCTCTGTACAGACTAAGGATTTTCAAGTCAGTTCCCAGTGCATTTTTCTGGTATATTTGGTGTTTAACTTCTCTAAAGCTTCTCTCCCATCCCATCACATAGTCAGGTGGGTTTAAGTACCCGTTACCTTTATGTTGAAGAACCTTGTGGTATGGGAACATCTTATCTCTCCATTTATTTTTCTGTGCACAGAAGTCATTATTAACTCCATTTTGGCTAGATTCTTCCTCACTGCTCTTCTGAAATTTTTCTCTGCATCTGTGCCTTTGATTATGGTACAGTTTCCCCAGGTAGACTTCACTTTCAGCTCTTTTCTTCAACTCCAGTGAATGTTCCTCGACTCACAGCTTTTTCTGAAATCTCTACCCATGTAGCATCTATAATATAGTAACTCAGGCCTGATGAGACATTGTCTGAAATTCCTAAAACAACTAGGTCCTAAGATTTTTTCCCCCATGAAGAGAGATGGCCAGTAGCGTAGTCTGTGCTCTCTGTGGAATCTGTGGTATGTACTTATTTGATTTTTTAAAATTGGTTATTATGGAGCCAAATAAAGAAAAGTCTTGTTTGTCAGATGTTTCTTCAGTAGAAAAGTTTCCATCTAAGCATCTACTTTGGGAAATATTTATTTTTAATTTTTTTTTAGATAAGGTCTCCCTTTGTCACCCAGGCTGGAGTATAGTGGCACAGTCACAGCTCACTGCAGCCTTGACCTGTCCGGACTCATGAGCTCCTTCCACTTCAGCCTCCCCAGTAGCTGAGACTACCACCACACCCAGCTAATTTTTAAAATTTTGGCTTTTTTGGAGAGACAGGGTCTCACTATGTTGCCCAGGCTGGTCTCAAACTCTGGGCTCAAGTGATCCTCTGCTTTGGCCTCCCAAAGTGCTGGGATTACAGGAGTGAGCCATAATGCACAGCAGGGAAATATTTCAGGTTGCAGATGTCTAGGTACCATTCCCATTGTTTTTTAGGTCTGAGTATGTGCAGTTTGGAAAAGCTGTAAAGATAGATATTATGTTCCCCTATTAATTTAGACCCACTTCTCATGTGGAATGAGAGGAATTGAAAATAAATGAGTCATGAAATAACTTTGTAGGATTTTAATTTAGAAGACAATATAAAACCATAAAATATTCAGCAATTCAGTATTTGAACATGAAGCATTTGTGTTAAAGTGCAAAATTCTCAAGATTAATGATACTGAAAGGAACTACTTTAGAAGCTCAATGATAAGTGAATAATATTTATCCTACCTATATTGAGGGCTTGTTATGTGCTATGCAGTGGGGGTACATTAGTGAAAAAGACAAACCTGTTCCCTACCCTCATACAGTTTACATTCTGCTGGGAGAGATATGAGTAAAAGGATTACCTATTTGATAAGTACTATGAAGGAAAGAAAGAAAGAGGGTATTTGTTTGTGTGCCATCAAAATGACATTTTAGTGGGCGTGATATGGTGGCTCATGCCTGTAATCCCAGTGCTTTGGGAGGCCAAGACAGGAGTATTGCTTGAGGCCAGGAGTTGAAGGCCAGCCCCGGCAACATAGCAAGACCCCATCTCTACAACAAGAATATGAAAAATTAGCCAGGCATGCTGGCACACACCAACAGTCTCAGCTACTTGTGTGACTGAGGCAGAAGGATCACTTCAGCCTGAAAGTTTGCAGCTGCAGTGAGGTATGACCCTACCTCTTCATTCCTTGGGCAACACAGTGATATCCTGACTAAAAAATCGCAAAATACTACTTCTAAGTCTACATATAAACTACTTTATTATTGTTTACCATTTAATTCATTAATTTGGATAGACTTTTTTTTTGAGATGAAGTCTCACTCTGTCGCCAGGCTGGAGTGCAGTGGTACAATCTAAGCTCACTGCAACCTCCACCTCCCAGGTTCAAGCAATTCTCCTGCCTCAGCCACCCGAGTAGCTGGGATTACCGGTGTGCTCTACCACGCCTGGCTAATTTTTGTATTTTTAGTAGAGACGGGATTTTGTCATGTTGACCAGGCTGGTCTCAATCCCTTGACCTCGTAATCTGCCTGCCTCAGCCTCCCAAAGTGCTGGGATTGCAGGCGTGAGCCACCGTGCCTGGCCTGGATAGACATATTTTTAATCCCATCTTGATTTGATTTTAATTTAAAATTATTGTTTTCCTTTGTTCTCACATCTTATAAGACAATTTTCTGTAAACTCTTCAAGTGGATCTCACACTTGTCTACATATGACTCTTGCTTTTTATCTTCAAACTTCTTTTCATAGTCTTTTTCATCTCAATGAATAGTATTATCATATTTATGCCTGAAACACTGAATGTTTCTTTCTTTCTTTCTTTCTTTCTTTTTTTTTTTGAGAAGGAGTCTCTCTGTGTTGCCAGGCTGGAGTGCAGTGGTGCGATCTCAGCTCACTGCAACCTCTGACTCCCTGGTTCAAGTGATTCTCCTGCCTCAGCCTCCTGAGTAGCTGGGATTACAGGCATGCGCCACCACACCCAGCTAATTTTGTATTTTTAGTAGAGATGGGGTTTCACCATGTTGGCTAGGATGGTCTCGATCTCCTGATCTCATGATTCGCCCACCTTGACCTCCCAAAGTGCTGGGATTACAGGCATGAGCCACCACACCTGACCAACACTGAGCCTTTCTTTAATTTTCCATATCAGCAGTGGTGCTTCCTCTGAAATTCCATTTTATTTTTGAGATGGGGTCTCAGTCACCCAGGCTGACGTGCAGTGGCTCACTCTCGGCTCATACAACCTCCGCCTCCCAGGCTGAAGTGATCCTCCCATCTCAGCCTCCCAAGTAGCTGGGCTTACAGGCATGCACCACCACACCCGGCTAATTTTTGTATTTGGGTAGAGATGGGGTTTCAATATGTTGGCCAGGCTGGTCTTGAACTCCTGGCCTCAAGTGACCCACCCACCTCAGCCGCCTAAAGTGCTGGGATTCCAGGCATCAGTCACCACAGTCAGCCTGCTTCATCTGAAATTCTGATGTCTGAAAATTAGATGAGGCTTTTCGCCTCAAGAAAAGAGTACTTTTGGGGTTTTTGTTTGTTTGTTTTTGTTTGTTGTTTGTTTTGAGCCTCTGTCTCACTCTGTCTCCTAGGGTGGACTGCAGTGATGCAGTTATGGCTCACTGCAACCTCAACCTCTCAGGCTATAGTCATCCACCCCCTCTGCCTCACAAGTAACTGGGACTTAAGGTGTGCACCACCACACATGGCTAATTTTAGAAAAAAAATATTTGTAGAGACAGGTTCTCTGTATGTTGCCCAGGCTGGTCTCAAACTCCTGGGCTGAAGACAAGCAGTCCTCCCACCTCAGCCTCCCAAAGTGCTGGGATTGTAGGTGTGAGCTGCCACCAGGCCCAGCCTCGTTTTATATTTGAGACTGTGCCAGATCTTTTCATCTTGCAGAGTACTTCCTGAGAATATTACCCCACAATTGCTAGTAAAGAATATCATCAAAAAGTCAATAAACTTTTAAAATATGCAATAAATGGTCTTGTAGAAATCACAAACAATTGTACTTACTGGATGAAAATATCTGTCCTACTATTATACAAAAAATTATTATGGTTAGGAGTAATTTCCAATGATAGCATTACATATAGATACAATATATACTTTATAGATTCAATTATAGGTTCAATTAAAGGAGGATGAATGTGAAGAAGTTAAATAAAAGTGTTGATACTGAGCTCTGGATAACTCTTGGATAATTACAAAAGGAAGTTTTACTGATGATGGTGAAGTTATTGACATCAGTGATTTAAGTAATGATCCTGAATAAGAATATTTTATAAATGCAACAATAGTACAAAAATTTAATGTTTCTTATCTTTCAGGTGTAAAGTTGGTATTGTACATTTATTCTGCACTTATATCCCTTTTTCTATTATACTATTCAACAACATATACTAATGTTGCATTTTTATGTTTTATTAATCATTCTTTAACTATATTGTGAAGCTTTCTAATGGGTGTGTACTTACCACTTTTCTTCTCTGATCTCATACTAAGTTCTGGACACATGGTAGATAATCGTAGATTATTTTCAAAAAAATGAACTAATCACCTCAGTATTTGATTGGAAATTGCTCCAGGCTCTTTATCTCATGATCACTGCTTCTTTGAGTATATTTAATATTCCTCATTTAAAAGTTCATGTATTTGACCAGGCGTGGTGGGTCACACCTGTAATCCCAGCACTTTGGGAGGCCAACATGGGTGGATCATTAAGATCAGGAGATCGAGACCATCCTGGCCAACCTGGTGAAACCGTATCTCTACTAAAAACAAAAAATAGCCAGTGTGGTGGTGCAAACTGTAGTCCCAGATACTCAGGAAGCTGAGGCAGGAGAATCGCTTGAACCCGGGATGGAGGTTGCAGTGAGCTGAAGATCATGCACTGCACTCCACCCTAGGACAGAGCAAAGACTCCCTTCTCAAAAATAACAATAATAAATTAAGGCCAGGCGCCGGCGTCGATGCCTGTACCCCAACACTTTGGGGGCCAGTGGGTGGACCGTAAGTCAAGAGATTGACCATCCCTGGGCAAACATTGGTGAACCCTATCTTCTACTAAAAATAAAAAATGCCTGGTTCATGGTGCATGCCCTGTAGTTCCCGCTCCTTGGGAGAGCGGAGCAGGAGAATTGCTTGAACCCAGGACGGCAGAGGTTGTAGTGGCGTAGTCACCCACTGTACTCAGGCCTGGTGACTGCATGAGGCTCCGGTTGAACAACATTAAAATAATAAAATAAAAGTTCATGTATTTAACACATTCGTAATTAAAATTAATTTTCATTTTCTGTTAAATTGTCAATGCCCATAAGTTACCATTATTGAGAGATTTTTTAAAAACTAGGATTATGGCCCAATTTTCAGAAGCTTTACATGATAAGCATAATAATTGAAGGAATTACACAGTATGGTTCATTTTTTTCTCTTTTTAGAAGTCTGGCTAGATAATCCCAAAATGTGCTCCGAGATAATTCAAGACAACCTTAAGAGTATGGAGAGAGGCCAATAATATGATGTTTTTGGAAAAATATTTAATTCAAGCATAAACGTTGTTCATGTAGGAATGAGATCCCATAATGTGGCACAGGAGAAAAAGTTTGAACATCCTTTTGACTTGCTTATTCCAAGAAATAACTGTGAAAGAAAGAAAATTGATGAGCTCAATAATAAATATATTCTGTATCAAACCTGACAGAACCCATGGTGGAATAAAATGCTGTGATTGCAATACATGTAGAAAACCAGCAACAAAGAGCCATGGCTCACTTGCTAATCATACACACACAGGAGTCTATTTATGCATGGATGTGGCAGACTTTTTTAACAAGAAGTCACAACTTATTATACACCAGAGAACTCATACAGGAGAGAAGCCCTATCAATGCAGTGAGTGTGGAAAAGCCTTCTCACAGAAGTCACTGCTCACTATTCATCAAAGAACTCACTCAGGAGAAAAACCGTATGGGTGCAGCGAATGTCAGAAAGCTTTTAGTAGGAAGTCACTCCTCATTTTACATCAGAGAATTCATACTGGAGAGAAGCCGTATGGATGCAGTGAATGTGGAAAAGCCTTCAGTAGGAAGTCGCAGCTTAAAAGACATCAGATAACTCACACAATAGAGAAACCCTACAGTTGCAGTGAGTGCGGGAAAGCATTCTCGCAGAAATTAAAACTCATCACACATCAGAGAACACACACAGGAGAGAAACCCTATACGTGTAGTCACTGTGGAAAATCCTTCTTTTGGAAGTCGCAGCTTATTACTCATCAGAGGACCCACACAGGGAAGAAACCTTATGCATGTAGTGAGTGTCAAAAAGCCTTCAGCAGGAACTCACTTCTCATTAGGCATCAGAGGATTCATACAGGAGAGAAGCCCTACGAATGCAATGAATGTGGTGAAGCCTTCATCAGAAAACCACAACTGATTAAACATCAGATAACTCACACAGGAGAGAAGAACTATCGATGCAGTGATTGTGAAGAGGCCTTCTTTAAGAAGTCAGAGTTAATAAGACATCAAAAAATTCACTTAGGAGAGAAACCATATGGATGCATTCAATGTGGGAAAACCTTCTTTGGGAAGTCCCAGCTCCTAACGCATCACCGAACACACACTGGGGAGAAGCCTTATGAATGCAGTGAGTGTGGGAAAGCCTTCACCCAGAAGTCAAGCCTGATATCACATCAGAGAACACATACAGGTGAGAAACCCTATGAATGCAGTGAATGCAGGAAGACCTTCAGTGAGAAGTCAAGTCTCATTCATCATCAGAGAACTCATACTGGAGAAAAGCCCTTTGAATGTAGTGAATGTAGGAAAGCTTTTGCCTGGAAGCCACAGCTTCTTAGGCATCAGAGAATTCATACAGGGGAGAAACCCTATGAATGCAATGAATGTGGGAAAGCATTTGTTCAGAAAGTGCAGCTCATTAAGCATCAAAGAAATCACACGGGAGAGAAAACCTATGGATGCAGTGATTGTGCAAAAGCTTTCTTTGAGAAGGCACAGCTCATTATACATCAGAGAATTCATACAGGAGAGAGACCATATAAATGTGGTGAATGTGGGAAGTCTTTCACGAGAAAGTCACACCTTATGAGGCATCAGAGGATTCATACAGGAGATAAATACTATGGATGCAATGAGTGTGGGACCACCTTCAACAGGAAGTCGCAGCTTATGATACATCAGAGAAATCATATAATATAAAAATCATACGTTTGGTGAATTCAGAAAAGTTGCTATCAAATGTCATACTTTCTAACACTTTTGAGGATGAATAAGGGAGAGAAACCCTATTGAGGCAGTGACTGTTGAAAAAGCTTGAATTGGGGAGTCAAGAGTCACTATGCAGAATTTAGAAAGGAGAGTTTTTAAAAAGTAAACAATGTAAAAAAAGTCATCTCCCAGAAGACACTACTCATTACATATTGGATGACTCATTGAGATGAAAACCTTATTAGTGTTGTGATAGTATAGAAGCTTTTAGTCAAAAGTCAGCTTATTAAATGTTTAGAATACCAAAACAGGAAGAAAATTATATTGTTATGACAAGCAAGTGAAAGATTTCAAGAAAGGACAACTCACTGTGCACTTGAGAATAATACCTACAGAGGTTTATACTGACGAGTAGTCTCAATAATGTAAAGAATTTGACAAGCGTGATGCTATTGAAATAGTTCTGTAAGGAAGTGGTGTTCTTTATATATAAATTATTACAAAAAGCAGTCAATTGTAAGTGTTAGGTGTGTTTACTTAGATGTGAAGAGTTCTGCTTTCTGCTGTGATGGAATAACAAGAGTCAGATTTCCTTTCCTGCCTTAAACAACTAGAAGCTGTCCAATCCATATAATATATAATGGTTTTTAGACATAGGACAAGCACAGTAGATTTTCTCTCCTGCCTTAAACAACTAGAAGCTGTTCAATACATATAATATGTAACGGTTTTTAGACATATGACAAGCACAGGTTTGTAATCCTCAGGAGACTGTAGACAGAGTGAGGTGAGCACCATGGTTTCTCAGCCTGCCCCCTGATGGCAGTTACTAGGCTGCAGTTCAGGGAAGGGAAACAGTAAATCTTGCTGAATTGAAGAGACAGGATTGGCAGTTAGGGAGGCCACAGCAGCTAGAATTTGCAGGGGAAAGTACTGGAGAGATGGGATCTTCCTAGAGCTAGGGCTCAAGAAGTCTGCAGAGAGTCCCCTTGGTCCTTTGGCTTAGTACTGACTTGGCACTGAGGCCAGGAAAAGAAGCACTGGAAAGCAGCATGCTGAACAATTCCTGGAACTCATGCAGCGCTGGGAATAGTTTATGTTCTCAGCAGCCAGAGTGGAAACAGATTCTAACACATGGAGCATCAGGTAGAATTCTCAGAAGGGTTTTGTTTTAGTAGTGAGGCTAATTAGCTGTAGATTAAAAACCTACTCTGGACCTGTAGTGTTCGGCATCCAAAAAAAATCTTATCTGGCATGCAAGGAAGCAATAAAGTATGACTTATAACCAGGAGAAAAATCAATAGAAACCCAGAAAAGACAGAGGTGATGGAATTAGTAGACAAGGGTATTAGAAGAGCTATTGTAAATATAAAGTAGAGGAAAACAATACCCCCACATACGCAAGAAGTTGATGAAACCTGAGGTATAAGAGATATTTTTAATGGCCAAAATAGAACTTCTAGGGATGAAAACACCTTCTGATTTTGTTAAAATCCCAAGTGGAGAGATTAGATACAGAAAAAGAAAAAAATCAATGAACTTGAAGAGTAAGAATAAAAACTACCAAAATGTTATGCAGAGAGAGAAAAAAAGACTTAAAGAGAATAGGAAAACAGTTACAGTGGTGTAATATATGTGTAACTGGAGTCCCAGAAGGAGAGGAGAAAATGAAGAGGCAGGAAGAAGTATTTGAATAAATATTGGCTAACGATTTTCCAAATCTGATGAAAACAATACCCCCACATATTCAAGAAGTTCAAATGACCTGAAGTAGAATAAACATAATTTATTTCGCAGCAGTGCACCTCAGAGTCACATTCAAGAAAAGCACTGATAAACAGAATAATTTTAAAACACCTTGAGAAGAAAAGATAATACATACACAGGAACAAAGAATGGCAGCAAATTTATGGTGAGAACTATGCAAGCTATAAAACAATAAAGTATTATCTCTAAATTCCTGAATGAAATAAACAACAAACCCTGCAACCTAGAATTGTGTTTCCATCAAAAATGTTTTCAAAAATGAAGGCAAAATAAAGACTGTTTCAGACAAACTAAATCAAAGATAATTTTACTACCTGTAGACCTGTCTTCGGGAAATATGAAAGGAAGTTTGAGGGCAGCAGGAAAATAATACAAAACTTAAGTTTGGGTCTGTACAAAGGAATGAAGTTCTGAAAACGGTGAATATGTGGGTAAATATAAAAGATATTTCTCTCTTTTTAAAATCTTTTTAAAAGGGAATTGGCTGCTTAAAGCCAAAGTAATGCTAACATATTTGGAGTTTATTTAGAAGTAAAGTGTGATGATGATAACACTTAAGTGTGAATTGTTAAATATGGTTGAGTAGACTGCATCATCTGAGTCAGAAGCCTGTTCCTTCCGGGCTCAGAGTAACTTGAATTTGTACCAGGCACATGACAGAAATTGTGTGGATTGTGGATCTGCATGTGTGCTGAGTGTTCCCTATTTCTCTGATCCCTTTTCCCCCATGTTCTGCTCTGCTCCCCCGCAAGACTGTCTTCTAGAGACTGGGGTTTCTTCATAGGTTTGAACAATGGGAGATACCAGAAAGAGATCAGATGGGAGGAGAAAAAAAGGTATTTTATACCATTCCCTTCCTCCTGCCTGGACTATGGTTTAGGTAGCCTCTGTGTTCCCATAAGGATACAGCTCCCTTTGGGAAGCCCCCGTCTATGGCCGTAGATCTCTTGGTTTCAGTTGATATCATTCCCTCTCCATGATCTTCAGACTTTACTACTGGGTGCTTCCCCAACCCACTGGTTGGGTGTCTTTAATTGTGAACACATATTTGTAAATAGTGCCTTTATTTGTTAAGTTAATATTTTGAGTGTGCCATTTATTTTCTGTGCCATCTGTTAAATGATGAGCATTTAATAAAATTGTGATAATCAGTTATCAG